AATCAGAAAAAAAAATAGCATTTTGCTTCTCCGCTACACAAACGTGTGAGACCGTGAAAGGATAATGCTGCTCTTGAAAAGTAAGTGGAAATTATAAAGAGCTTCCTCGATGTTAAACTAGATCAACTATAAAATAAAACAAATTCTTGTGTTGTTTATCATTTATTTTCTATCTCTATTCTAAGTAAGTTCGCAGTATAGTAAATACGCTTAGCATAAAGTTCACGTTGTGCAACTGAAAGTAAATAATAAACAATAAAAATCTAACTGAAGGTTTTTCTCCCGTAACACATTTAAAGAAAACATGCTACATACATGGAAGAGATGTCATGTGAGAAACGCTAGAGAAAGTACTATCGATTGAAGTCCATTTAAAATTTGACGACCAAGAAATAACGTGAAAAAATTCACTAACACTGAGCTCACAGGATGTAAACACAGCAAAATATACAATAAAAAGTCTTAGCATGAAATTCATAAAAGACAATACGTACTATAAAATACCATAAATAAACATTTAACACGGATTTCAAGTAGAGCATAATATATTATAAAGGAAATTTTAGCAATGACTTTGTGCAAAATTAGGCATGTAGCGAGTAAACATTTTGCATATATTTCACGAAATACAAGTTGTACTACAAATATAACCTAAGTAAGAGGTTCATGCAGAACAAGTTACATTATAAAGAAACCCTTCGCATAGAGTTTATTGAAAAAGCGATACTTTAAAGAAACCCTTCACATGGAGTTCATATAGAACAAATTAAACTATAAAAAAACCTTTAGCATGAAGATAATGTAGAACAGTTTTGTTATAAACAAACCTTTAGGATGAAGTTCATGTAGAACAAACTATACTATAAAGAAACTTTTCGCAGAGTTCATGTAAAATGTACAATACGTAAGCTCTTAACATGATCTTAACTTGGTGTTTGTTTACAGAAAGACATGATCCGAAGAAATACAGAGTAAAATATATATATAAGTAGTAAATTCTTAGTATATAACTCTTATAAAGCAAGGTATGTTATCTATAGACCTTTAGCCTGAAGCTCATTTATGATAAAATATACTTGACATGAAATTCATGTAAAAAACACATTATCAAAACATTTAGTGTGGAGATTATTTAAGTTAATACAAACTATAAGGAACTCATTCATAGGACTTGTATTATATGATGATTGCTATAAAGAAATCATTTATGTTGGTTAATGTGACGTAAAACATACTGTTGAAAAATATTTGTGTATCAGTCTTATTAGGTATACTAAAATGAGAACTTTAGATCAACGCATGCGCAATAATGTAGTAATGCCACAGCAAAGTAGAATGACATGATGTCAATACTATAAACCTCACCTGCTTGTCACGTCTAATAAATATATTTGCCATGGTAAAACCACGTGTGCTACTAAAATTAGAGTTCACCCTCAACATGTATATGTTGACAATGTTTTTGGTTTGATCTAAAAAATGAAAACACCCAAAGCATTTATATATATTATTTCTATGTATTTTTCGCAACATATTTGTAATAACTAATACATTTGTTATATGATTTTGATATATCATTAAATGATCCTTCATCTCTGATAATAGAGAAATATATTTTCAAACATTATTTTGATTTAAATTATGTTTAGTACGGGAAATACGGGGTTAAATAAGACTTTAAGATTGCCCAATCCGATAAATTATGCTAGTGATTTACGATGTAGACAACTAAATAGTTTACACACATTGCGGACAAATACTCTCTGTATGAAAAGTGTTGCTTAGTATGAATTACTGAAAAATGTTTTTTCTCTATTTCAGAATGTGGACCGAGCATGGTTTAGTGGTTAATATACAAAATTGTAAATTCGAGAGTCCATGGTTCGCGTATCGTTGCCGTAAAATCAAAATTCGCACTTTGTAGCCGTAGGGTGCGAGATAAGGGAGACGGTCAAATTTCATTTTTAGATTAGAGTAGTGAAAGAGCTGGTGGTGAGTACTGTTGACTGGTAGAGTAGTGAAAGAGCTGGTGGTGAGTACTGTTGACTAGTTGTCTTTTCTCTAATTTATCTGTTGAAAATTAGAGACGGTAAGCGGAAAACCACTTTCGCAGCTTTGCACAAGTATTCGAAAAATATTTTGGAATGTAACTCTTTTAAATCTTGGTTCCCCAGTGAATCGCTAAAACGCTAAAATTTAGGGTTCAATTCTTTGCGGAGGACAGAACGCAAATAGCCAAGTTATGTAAGGGTTGTATTAAAAGAAAAACATCTTAAATTTCCTCAGTTGTTAATTTTCTCCTCCATTATTTTGAATCTCTTTTTATAATATAATTTTACGTTTTACAAAATTAATGAATATTTTGACAGAAAAATGGGAGTCTCTTGTTCTATCAGTTTTAAAGTTATTGCTCACTAACGGTAATATTCGATGGCTTACATTGACAATAATTTAAACTGGCTTATGCATAGATATTCTACATATGAAAGGGAAATGTCATTCATTTTTTCACATACTGTTTTTTTATATTTTTTTAGTAGGCAGTCAACTGTAGTAAGTGGTCGAGTCCTTCTTTTGATATGTTGTTTCAAAATTTTCGCACGTAAGTGCTATCAGTGTCCGCATAGCCTTTCCTAATTTTGAAATGATGAACTAATAGACAGGCAGCTAGTTAAAAGCTCCCCAGCCAACTATTCCTGTCTGATAGAATATGGGATTTGACCCATATTCTTATAGCGCATCCACAGCCTCAAAGTGTGGAGCGCGTTTTTTGCAGTAAGGAGAGTCAAATCATGAATTTTTGAATTCACAGTCTAGGCAACAATTATATGTGTTGTGAAAGAGTAAAAAAAGAATTTAAAAAATATTTTTTTTGTTTCCATAACCAAATAAGTATCTTAGATACTTCTAGATTTCTGTTCTTTTAATACCACTAAATCAACTTAACAATAAGAAAAATATTTTGAGGTTGAAATTCATAATAGACTGCTAACTCTTTACAAGACAGAACAGTCCATTTCTAATTACAACCTTACACAAGACAGAACAGTCCATTTCTAATTACAACCTTACACAAGACAGAACAGTCCATTTCTATTTACAACCTTACACAAGACAGAACAGTCCATTTCTAATTACAACCTTACGATGTCCATCGTACCAAAAATACTAATGAAAGAAACAAAGATATTTCGAAAAAAAAATTAGAAAATTCTTAAATATTGTTTTGGTAAGATGGATACATTTTAAGCAGAGAACTACTAATTACTATGCTAGTGTATGAGAGTTTCTTGATCATAAAAATATATATTCGTAATTCGGATTTCATATAGACTGATTAGGATGACAGTTTGTTTGTTTGTAATTAAGCACAAAGC